TTAGATGAAATCTATTTTTCTTTTCTTCAACTGATTTTGTCACTTACTTAGTTTCTTCATTTCCATTGGAGTGTTGCCTCTTCAATTTCCCACCCTGGCTCACAACACCATTACTTTTAGATGAATTTTTAGCCTTCCCACTACTACCACTACTTGTGCTCTTAGGACGAGAGGCATCAGAATTGATTTTGTTCACAGAATTTGTTATTAGGGCTGAGCTGTTATTATTTTGCCCATGTCCATTGGATGGACTTACAGGCATATTTGGTTTCAGGGGTGATGGAGCAGGTGATGGTGTTGTCAAAACAGCTGAATATGAGGGCCTCATTGGATGAACCTCTGCTATAATGCGTGTTCTGAAATAAGAAAAGGCAAGATGATGCTGCATGTAGATTCATTGTCAAGTTCATGTATCTCTCACAATCAACAAACCTGCGGACACTTTTGTCATTCTTTTTGACTGGTTCAACCTCTTTTACATTCTCATGTGTAGAATCATTGCTTTCATTCAAAGCCAAACCAAAAGGGTTGTAGCGCCCAGTCTGGTTGGGAACAGTCCAATTTCCAACTAAGTTCTGAATGAGCTGATCCTGATTCTGTGATGTTTTAGAAGCAAGGTTTGGAGCTCCATCCTGCTGTGAGGGATTTAGACATTGTTGTTGTTGTTCTTGAAGTTGTTGTCTAGCTTGCTGCTGTTGCTGTTCAAGATGCTGACGCTGAACTCTCTGCATTAATTCATGCTGATATTGCTGTGGCTGAGTTACAGAAAATATGTGTTGCTGAAACTGCTGGTTTTGAAGATGCTCATTGAACAAAGTTTGTGATGGTTGAAGAAGTCCTGGAGGTCCATGTTGTAATCCGGTTCGTGATTGGTGCTGAGGAGATTCATTTTCTGCTGTTCGATGCTGAAGATGTGTTGGCCTCATCATAGATTGCAACTGAAAACAAAGGAAATTCATAATAAAAGTTGGTTGAATAAAGCATACTTAGTCTCTTACACCATAATTGAAACACACCTGCTGAGGCTGTAATTCACGGAAGAGGCCATAGTTGTTGGCTAAAGGAGCATGCTGGCGGCTTGAATCACTTTGATTGGAAAGTGGCAGGATGTTATCCAAGGATGGTGGAAGCACATTTGTAACGGTAGAGCCAGCATTGACAGGCAAATACTGTGGGTTGACAGTACCTCCATGCCCTCCACTGTATCTCACTTTAACAAAGTTTCCTCCACCAATGTCAACCATTGTTCCTCCTAAATCATTACCATCACTCTGTTGGGCTGTTGTCTGTAAAGTTGGACTAAAAAAGTCTTGGGCTTTTCCAGCTTGAGGATCGACTGGATAGCCTGGGGGTGGCTGATCTGCTTGGAAGAACACTGGCAGGGTAGGCTCTCCTCCACCCATCATGAAGTAAGGTTGAGGCTGCCGTGTTGGTCCAGTCCCCTGTCCAGGCACTTGCCCTGTATTTGAGGCTGCAGTTTGACCTTGCGCGTGCCAGTTAGTCCACACATGAGAGCTATGAGGAGCAGGTGCCTGTGCTGGACCACCACCACCTCCAGGGGGCAAGCCGTAGGTATGCCAATCTGCGGTCATGTGGTTTATGATGTCATCCAGAGGACTCTTCTTGCCCTCGTTCGCGTGCTCTTCCATTCTTCTGCGTTGTCCGTGAATCTACACGGTTCGTCGAAACTAGCATCGCACCCAAATCCGTCTTTACGATGCCACTGTCTGACAAAGTATAAACATGTTTACAGCAACCTTTCTGGGTTAGCTTAAGCAGATCGTCCGCTACGAAATAAAACTTCAGCCTGAGGCAAATCAAATGCCAGAATACTATTTGTCTGAGAATAATCACTCAAAAAAAGCATTACACAAAATCCGAAATCTTCACTAAATAACGTTACCATATGATATAAATCTTTATTTCATAGCCACTTTAGGCCTACGCACTGCACGACTGCACTGCACGGGTGCTGGTTTTTCTTTTTTGTCTTCTTTTGTTTGGTGGTCGGGGGGTGATTCCAAGGGGGTTTCAGCACGAGCCGAAATATTTCATCACCTCGACCTAGTCTTCCCTCGATTTTAATTGATAGATTCTCATTGCCTCGCAATCACCACGCATCATAGTTTTCTTGATCCCCAAATTACAAACATAACCTAACGTACCACGTCGTCACCGATAGGTTGGCAATATTATTTTTTTCTTTGTTTAACATATTCAAAATTGAGAGGATACGTAGTCCTTGCGTCTTTGAGCTCCTTGGAGTCTGAGTCCTCTCTTTTATCTGATTTGCTCATTTTTCTTTATTTCCATATCTCAGCAAAGAAAATTGCAGATTGTTATTTATGGTGTTGCAGGACCACATAACATAGGAAGTCAATAAATTATGAAGTCCTTCGTTCATGTTCATATCTCAGTATTGTTATTGTTTTTACATAAAATACACTGTACACAACCATCATTCACAATAAAAATATTTTTGAATGTTTAACAAATTACATAAAAGTAGTGGGCTAGGATTACCTCTTAGACGGTAAACATGTAAATTCAAATAAAGTAGACAGAGAGATCATAACAGTAACTTGAACATGACTGAAAAGGTATACCAGAACAGGTGGATTACAACCAATTTACAATATGTAAAGCGGATAGAAATTCCTGTAATTCTAATATTTGACATTGAAGCAATTGATGACAAGTTTAGATACTCCTCAAAGAGATCTTTAACTTCTTTAAATAAAATACCGGGGCATAAGTTCATACAATGTGCAAGACATAAAAATTGCTCTAAGTGAAAATTTTCATGGATTATGAGCAGAAATGGAAGATGTGGGTTGAAATTTCTAATTGAGTGAAAAATTAGACCTGTGTTGACTAGGGCACAACTTTCACAAAATCCACTTTTTTTTTTTTTTTTTTTTTTTTTTTATTTATTTATTTAGAATATCAGAATACAATATCTGTTAAAACAGATGGTTCAGGACTTGGACTGGAACTCAAGGAACTCATTGAATCCTCCTCTCTCTCCTTGTCCTTATCTTTTTCTTTGTCCTTTTCCTTTTCTTTGTCCTTTTCCTTATCCTTGTCCTTTTCCTTGTCCTTATCTTTATTTTTATCTCTTTTGTCTTTGTCATGTTTGTGCTTGTGCTTGTGCTTATGTTTCTTGTGTTTCTTATCTTTTTTCTTTTTCTTAGGCTAGAAAAATAAAATTGCAGATTATCAGAAGAATGTCATAGAATAGCCATCTGTATGCCTGAACAGAAAAATATACATGTTGACCAAATTGGAAATAGAGGAAAAACAAATGCAAAACTTACTTTGTTGCTGGTGTCTGGTTTGCTGTTTGGCGTCTTTGACTGTCCAGCGGAATCACTTGCAGGAACAAAGGCTATACCTCCTTTAAACATTCCCGGCTCAAATCCAACAGGACCATGCCTTGGTCCTGAAATTCCTGGAAGGGATGCAGAGTTGTCGGAAAAGTATTCAGTCTTTACAGGATGAGTAGTGGAGCTCTGTGACAAAGAGGAATTTGTAGAACCACCAGGTGGGGCAGCAAGGAGATTTGGTTCATCCTGGAACAAATACACACAAGTATGCATTAACATTAGAGTTCATCACATGTTTAGGAAATATATTTAAACTCAAAAAATGAGCAGTCCTCCCTACTTTAATTCGAACTTTGTTTTCATCACCAGCAACAACTTCTACAGTCACAAGTTCAAGGTTGTCATCTGCAGATAAAACCTCTGGCTCCCGATGCAACATCAGAGGTGATGTTGCTTTACGCTTCATACTGGGCTCTTCATCAATAAATACAGGCCCAAGGTCAACCTCTTCTTGTACCTCAACTTCAGATTTAACCTGTAATATAATTTTGTGTGATAGGCAGAGTAAAATAGTACAGTAACAAAATTAGATTTAAAGAGTTTACTTACATCAACTCCAAATTCTAGATGTCTTGAAGTATCTCGTTCTTTTTCAATAGCTCTTTCTCTTTCTTTCTTTTTTTCTCTTTCTCTTTCTCTTTCCCTTTCTCTCTCTCTTTCTTTTTCTTTCTCCCTCTCCAATCTTTCTCTCTCACGTTCCAGTCTATCTTTCTCCCTAATTCTCTCCCGTTCCCATTCTAAATCGGGATCAGGACCTTCATCATTGTGATCCAAGTCATTTTCTCTGTTGAAACTATGATCAAAGGTGGGACTTGCACGTTCTGGCTTGAGGAATGATAGTTCATTTTGGGCCAGACAAAATGGACGTTTTGTACCATACAGTGCATAATACAAATCAACCATATCACACCGTTGCTGAGTGTCATGAGAAAGTTGTTCACTGTAAAACAAATAAAAGGTAAGGAGTGAAGTAATCTATGGATATTGTCATGCTATGCTGTATCAGATCAGTAAAACAATAAAGCAAAAAAACTTACTTAATGTTTGACCACAGTCGATCAACAAGTTTGTCTTTGTCCAGGCGGTGTTTTTGAGATTTATGAAATGGTGGATTTTCAATCATCATTCTTAGCAATTTATGGCGAACCATATGATCTGGATCATTTTCAGCAATATCAAGCAAAAACTCCAGATCCTCCCATTTGCCATCAGCTTTGGTGAAGTCAACTAATGCTCCTAATGCTGCTAATCTCACATCTAAAAATTGCAAAAAAGAGTAAATAAAATCTATATCAGGTAAAACAAAAAAACAACAAAATAGTAATTGTGTAACATCAAGGAACCTACCAATAAATATCCCATATGCAGTGTAAGATCTGAAAATGGTAGGTTGACTAGGTAGATGGCCGAATTTTTGTAGCTTCCGAATTGTTCTCAAACAAGCAGCTGAAACTACTTGTTTATAGCAAGGTAACTTTTTTTCTAGATTCAAACAACGAACTACTTCCTCTAAAATACATTTTGTGTCAGAAGTGAGAGATTCACTTGAAATTGTTCTGGAGAAACAAATGTTATTTTTCAAAATTTGTTTAAAGCAATTTTTAGGTACAGAATATTTTTTTTTTTTTTTGTAAAATGTATATTATATTTATAGTAAAATAGGTTACTTACCCATGCTGCATTCCTACAACTGAAACCACTGGTGTGATAGTCTCACCTAAGGCATCAATCAGAGCTGCCCTGTAGTAATTATCAGAGTAGCAGTTCTTGCTATTGTCATTGTACTTGAATAAGTTCAGGAGGAGGTTAAGTACATCTGGAGGACAAATATTTAGAGTGTTTCTCAAGCCTGCCATCGCTATAGGAATAGTCTGTAAAATTGATAAGATATATGTATTATATAATATTTGAGAACATTTGGAATGCAGTTTTAAGGACCATTTTGGAAAGTAAAAAATAAGATAGATAAAAATAACATAGTATAATAATAAAAATATATTGTTATTACCTTTTGAAGAAAATAGTGTTGAAGGTTTTTAAAGTCATTTTGCTTAACAATATGAGGACAAGAAGCAGAACCAAAATGCTTTTGGAATATCTGATGCATAGCAGAGGGGCCTGACCATGTAGCAACTAGGGCATTTGCAACTTTTGTTAAGCAATGTGCTGCTTGGCATCTCACTTTATGATATGTAGTTTCACTTTCAATGATATATGTGAGTGCACCACGAGTTGCAGCTGTGGGAAAACGCTCTAGTGCAACAATTGCATCTAGCTGTGCTGTTACATCTCGTTCATGCTTGAGCTCATACTGCCACATGAAGTCGGGTTGCTCGATAAATACAGACCGTAGAATGGTCATGTCAGTATCAAGCCTGACCCAGAGGACCGGAGAATCTGCACTAAAAAGCAGAAGTTTTCACAAATTCAGTAAAGTTTAGTTGATAAATTTGACAGGAAAACAAATATATGTAATATGTACAGTTTGAAAAATAAATTAGATAGTAAACTTACTCCATTGCAGTCAAGTCCATGTCAACTTCTTCACCTGTGCAAAGCGGAATTTTTTTCTTTTTGTTTCTACGACTCTTGGAATGACAAGTTATGTCAGTTTTGGCAGGTGTCCCCTCCACTTGTAATTGATGTGTGAAAGTGCCATCTAGCTCCTGGATTGTGACGAACAAAGGTCCCATATATTTTCTAATACCCCTTTGATTTAATGCATCTTGTTTGATTTCCAACTCAACAGTATTCCTGAGTAAAAATAGATGACAAATGAAATGAATAAATATGCATTATATTAGTTGTAAACTCATAGTAGATATAAAACATTACCATTAGAGCCATGTCATGACCAACCATTAAATTAATAGTAGTTTTAAAATATTGGAATTGACATTTATTTACTATTATGTATTCAACAGGATTAAAATTAATTAAATTTTGGAAATAAATCATAAACATACCTTTTCCGATTGAACACAAAACTAAGATGGAATTTCGCATGGCCACCAGTGCGTACCCACTGATCAATAAATACTGACATGTCTGAGCCAGTGACAGTAAAAATTGCTTTAGTGAAAACATTGGTACTAATTAGCATATGACTCCACTGGTTGGAGGCCTGCTTTTGTTGAGCTGCAATACTAGCCAGTGAGAGTTGTTTGTTCAACACCTTAAGTTGCACCAAGTAAAAAAATAGAAATTAAGGTTATTAGACAACATTTTTAAGTTTCAGTAATCTATTTAAGAATAAGAATGTCCCCGTGAAATAATGTACCTGCAACAAGCGCTCTTGTTTAATTCTGTCTTCAAGCATTCGCATTATGAGATGCGCCTTCTTCCTTTGCATTTCTAAGTATTTAGGAGACATTGTGTGCAAAGATCTCGTTGAGAAATAAAAAGGTTGCTGATTGTTCCTTTGAGGAGCTAGAGGGGATGTTGTAGAAGAAGCAGGAGTAGGAGCAGGTTGTTGGCTTGGGTCAAGCACAATGCCACCATATGTTTCCTCATATTTTATCACCTCTTCCAACTCCTGTTAGGATAGAGAAGTATACATGAGCCATACCAATGTATGTTGGATATATCCAATTCTCATTTTGAAACAAACTTACAGATCGGATCCATTCTCTGTACTCATTATTACCAAAACTTTTCTTTGCATACAGTCCACAGAGATAAGAAGCAATGCCTTGGGGAAGCCAGTTATCACTCCAGTTCTGCATAGAGATAAAACATCCAAAAAATTGCTCAGCAATGGCAAGAGCCATAGCCTTCCTTGTGATGTAGGTTTGATCAACAATTGAAGAAGAATGTAGAAGATTTACACTATTAAAGAAAAAAATATTGCTTTATGTAATTTTAAAAAATATGAGGAAATCCCAAAGAAAACCTAGTTAATGATACAGACCTAAGAATACTCATAGTAGCATAGGCTGCCACATCCTCTGGAGTTTCATCAACAAAAACTTGCTTATAGCAAGCATAAGGGTACCGATTTTCTAATGTTTCCTCATAGAATTCAAATGCTTCATGCATGTACCTTGCTGAGACTTGAAGGAGAGGAAGTAATTGTGGGAGACAAAAGTGTGTAACTTCATGCATGTACGGATCCACAAATATTTCAAAAGGCCTGTTTTCAAAAGACAAAAAAATCAGCTATGTGGGATGAATGTAAAATTTGTTCTTAGGTTAAGCATTCATAATGGTTATTAATTACCCAACAGCAAGTGCGATATTTGGTGCAGATGCAGGTGTAGAGAGAACATAATGGAATGTTTTCCTTCTCATATCTGGTGTAGAAACAACTTCGACTAGGTCACCACATGATACAGCTGTCATACATTCATCAACAGTTAGCTCTAGCTTCCATGTGCAGGGCTCAGCAAAACTATCAATACAGGGAAACCACAATCTTGAAGAGTGGCCATATGTGAACATATGAGCTCCTTTCTATGGAAAAAAAGAATACCAGTTAAATGAATAAAAATCACCTCATTGCTACTAGGAGTGGTAGTACTCACTTCTTTAGGTGTTCCTTCAATATCAGGAACAACAAATTGAATTCCTCCTTGTGGATTCTCTAAAGAAAATTCAATTCCCACTCGAAGAGGTTGACCCTCTCTTACAAGATGTTGGGCTTCAACTGGTAAACTGATCACAAGTTCACCAGCATTATTATCTGGATCAATCTGAAGAGCAGCTGTCAGGTGAGCACTGGCAAAATACTCTAAGGACCTCCTGCAACAGTTCATTAGGGTTATTACATGAATTTTAATCTTTCCACGTCATCGATGAGAGACATTTTAGAAAAACATACTGCTTAGGGTCTGCTTGACAAATATCCAAGAAGGGATCAAAGTACTGGAATGGAGCTTCATATTGGTCATTGAGAGTTACTCTGTAAATTCGGCTTTGTTTTGCATTCAATTTAATGTGTCTGATGTTCTCCTTCTGAGGAACAATAGTAAGTTCGACTAATCCCTGAAATAGTAGAAAGTAAAACATGGGATAACGAGAGCTGTCTAACATTATCTATATCCAAGGATGTTATTGCACAAAGCACATACAATTATACTTTTACGTTGAAAACTGATGCCTGTCAGGCTAACAATTTGATGGGCTGTAAAGGTAACAAAAAAATTATCAATTTAATTACTTGAAATTTTGCCATAGTATATTTACTGACGTTAAGATTCTTGAAAGAAACATGATAACAGGAAAATTAAAAGATGTACATAAATAAACAAACACTAAGTCAGGTTATGTAGCATTGATCAGATACTTATAATTTGAACGGGCGCGTTGAATCTCCACTCCGATCTTTCTTCATTATGACTGATATTACTGATAAACCATTGATTGAATAGAATTAAATCGTTCTTAAAATAAGTGTGACATTAACGACGAGTTTGGTGAAATTTCACCGGTGTTGACACTCATTTCGCGTTCGGGGTTCTAACAATCAGAACGAATTGCAATCAAGATACGATTATCAGCAGGAGAGGTATTTAGTGTCACATTCATATTGTGTTAATGATTGCCTCGCCTAGCCTCGCCTCTCATGAGTGCAAATAATTGTGTTATGTTTTTGTTTGGCTTAGTGTGTTTGGCGCGAAAGACCAAGAACTGCCTGCTGCCACTTTTGACTTTAAACCACTTTTAACTTTTAACCCGATCCATTAAATAGAAGTAAAAAACAACAACATCCTTTCCGTTTGTCAACATAATTGGATCTTTTGTTCTAGTCAATTTTACCGATATCTGTGGCCCTAATCCATTTTTCCAAGAAGACAAGCTTTCTGATCAACTGACCATGTAATAACACAATTTGACAAGCTTCTAACCTCTTGTTTTTATTATTTAATTTTTTACATTATTTATCTATATTATAGATTTTTGAAAAATGGCTACAATCGACGAAGACAACGGAAATGAGCCTGTTCCAACAGCCGAAGAAGTGGAATTTGCTCAAACAACGGCGAGATACAGTGAAGTTTTGTCTAAATGTAAACTATTGCGTGCAAGACTTCTGATGACTGCTGAAAATATCCCACAAAGTGAGCACTTCGATATATGCTTCTGTTACACATTCCTTTTATCAAATTAGTAAATAACATTGAGCATTGTTATAGATGGTGGCAATCAAATACCAGGAATATCAGAGTCGGACGTCATTGATAGCTTAGTTAAAATGGAAGACGAGTTTCATCGGTTGAGTATTCAAGAAGAGATGTTGAAGGAGATAAAAGTGACCAAACTTGCACTTGACGTGTTTTGTTCTGAGGAGCATTCATACGAGTAGGCTAAATGATTTCTGTTACCATATTTGCACATATGGGCTTCATATTATGTCAATTGTTATCCTATTTATTTCTGTTTTTTGTTTTGTTTTAGAGGTTTAGATGATTTGATTAAAGAACATTGCGCGAATCAGGCAAAGCTCTTTCAACTAGCTCAGAACATTAGAAGTGAGAAGCTCACCCAGAAACATGCAAAAGCTGAACTATTAGAGCAGCTATGTCAATACACTGCATCCCTCAAGGAAGATGAGGCGAAACTTGACTTAACCACTCAATCAGACACTGAAAGGTAAGAAAAGCATTCTGTACTTTTTTATTTTAGTATTGCTAGCTGTGAAGTCATTACTCAGATTCTTTCCATATCTTTCAAAAAAAAAAACTCTATTGCAGCACACTTAATTTAAAGAAAAACACTGAAAAGCAGATAAAAGAAATACGTTTCATGCAAATATGTATTTCTAAAATATTAGCAAATTCAGAGGTTGATTTAAGAGAATCTGAAAGACTTCGGGAAATAATCAAGTCAGTTCGAAATCCTATAACATCAGTGAAAAATTTTCTCTAATAATTCTAAATACTGAATAATCATGTGCAATTCTGTTAACCATCAGCTTACTTTTAGTTCTAGATAATTTGTTAATTTTTTTACGTCTTTGACTAATTCCTCTTTTAAATGTACAGTTTTGTTTTATTGTTAACATTTTTGTATAAACTATTTGTAATCTTACAATTTATTATATTTTCTATCCCGAGCACGATGGATATACTCTTTGCCTCAGAGATGCAGCATGATGTATCGACGCCCTACGGACGGTGGCGCCTCGAGAGCGCCTCACTCCGTGCAGGGAGTATTCCCTAGTCAACCATACCACTTCCATAACTACTTGTCACAAGGCAGTGAATGACGGATCTTAAGTGTGGCACGAAATCATACGTGGCAGATCAAACCGCGCACTGCCTACCACTTAAAGCATGCACCACACACGGTAATGCATGCCTTGCTCACGCCACTCTGATCGCTGTGCTTCTTGTTCTGCGGAACGCATACAAGCCAAGCCACTCCCCTTTTGTACAACAGAGGGAAGAAAATTAGCAACAACGTAACAAACATATTCTGTTCGTGCTGTACATCATATATGAGTTAGTCCCTCTTTGCCCCCGTGCCCCCCCCCCTGCATCTATAATTGCAGGAATATCGCCATATCTCCCCGAGAGGAATTTCTAGGGAAAATGGGGACTTCTCTCTCTTGCTTGTGAGATAGAAAAGAAATAGCAAGACAGAAAAGGAAAGAGGGGGAGGGGGTGAGCAGAGAGGGCTGGGCATCTCTGAGCGACCCCTATTCTTCTTGCGATATTATCTCATACCTCCCCCACAGCCCTGCCCACCACTCCCGCTTCCCGCTCCTGACTTGGAGCGGAGCAGAGCAGGGGGGCTGAGCCTTTCGCCCTGCCTCTTGCCTCCGCAAAAGTCGACTTCCATCTTCTTTTCTGTCAACTGTCCCCGCTGGTCGCCGCCTGTCCCGCGCCCCCTCCACCCCAACCACCGAGATATCGCAAACTAGCGCCGCATGCATGCCCCACTCACTAGGCGAGACACTGCTTCAGAAAAGGAGTCGAGAGAAGTCAGCTGACTCGCCCACCCACCCCGCCCACGTCCATCGCATCTGGCGTTCTGAGCGACTGTAGGCAACCCGTCAACACGCAGTCAGTGTTCACATCGAACTATCCAGAAATAAAAGTCGAATCGACGTTGAAGAAATTTTCACTTCTGGCTGGTTACGTGGTGGCTGCCATACCCTGGACAACTTCGTGGTGGTACTGTACCGCATGCAGCAGGCGTGTGGACGCGTTGCGTACTCGTAGGGGCCGTAAGGCCGCTAGGCACGCCCGCCGAGCGGTACATTATACTACGAAACTGTCCGGGGTATGTGGGCCACCACGTACTTGATTAAACCCGCCGCGCACTTCTTTAGTTAGGCTGTACCGTATCACTACGCGCGTGCGGGTTGCCTACTCGCTCGGCCCGTAAGGCGCCGTGAGACAGGGGCGATAGGCAGGCCCGCCCGCACTCTTGCGTGCGGTACAGAGGAACTACAGAAATGCACGAGGTTAATCAGCCACCGGGTATGTGGGCTATGGGTAAACCAGGGTAAATCAGCCACCTGGTGGTATGCGGATGGACTAATTTTTTCGCGTAGGGCAAGGAAAAGCGGGAAAGCGTATTGCAGGGAGAAGGGATGGTAGGGGAGGGGGGGGGGTAGAACGAGAGTGGAGGGTGGCGGAGGGCTGGTCGGAGGGGGCGGGGCGGCGTAGGGGCGGCGCTATCTGCGGCGGGGCGGGGTCTTATCAGGCGCCGTCAGAGCTCTAGATTGCGCGAATCAAGGACGAGTCGGGCCGAGCCTACGCCAGGCCACGGCATGATGGCACAAGTCGGGGCGTTTAGCCTCCCCATGGGGGAGGGAGGGGCCCGTCCCTTCACTCATTCACATGTGTGAGCAAACTCGGCTCCCAAGTTTGCTCCACTCTCCGGGCGCCCGGACCGTAGTTTATACGCGTGTGATGGGTTGCCTACGTCGCCCACACACCTGGCTGGCTCGGTCTGGCCACGAGAGAAGGGCGCCCTTCTGTGGCCTGACTCGCTGGCGGCTGCGCGGGGGCGCCCTCTGTTTACACACCAAGTGATTCGCCGAGATGGAGCCCGGGGTGAGGGGCGAGGAGGAGGTGGGAAGTGGGGTGGGAGGAGCGGGGCTGAGATGTGGGCGGAGCCGAGAGAAGATTACGCAAGATATCAGTGCGCGGCAGATCGAATATAAACCGATCACACCCTTGGCTGGTACCGCGCGCCGCTCTCGCAGACTCCCGACCTCCCTCCGCTGCCCTAAAAAGAGAAAATAACTGCATTTAGGCTCCACGCCCTGAGGGGCCGCCCTCACCGTATCGCGCTGCCCGGTTCGCGATAAACAATTTCTTGTTGATTTTCGCACGCCGAAAAGCAACAAGGCGGAGTTTTTGCAGCGCGAAGAAAACACAACACCCCGGCCGCGGGGGGTTCAAATCAAAGAAGGGAGCGCCCAGCCTTCATCATCTCTCGCTCTCACCCCTCTGCAGACCACTTCCGCCTTCCAGGGGCGAGAGCGGAAGGTCTTTTGCATCGTCTTCCGGTCATGATCCCGGTCCGGTATCTCCAAAGCGAACCGTCCATGGAGCGCCGTGCCATCTGCTCGCCATTGTTTTTGGCGCGGCGAGAGCGGGCGGAGCGGGCACGCCACTGGAGAGGCAGCGGTGGGGAGCGGCGGGGCGAGGAGCGGAGGGGCGGGGCGACCCTACGCAAGTCATTTATCAAAGCCTTATCGCGCTCTGCAAAGGCTTAAACTCGAGGCGGCCGAGCCGAGATTTCGACTCGCGACGCCGGCAATCCATCCATCTAATCGTCCCGCTCGCTCGCTCCTCTCTTCTCGCCCTCCCCTCCTCTCCCTCTCTCCGGTTTATTCCCCTTTCTTTTTCTTTCCTCTCCTTTCACACTCGCGGGGATGTTGCGCGCCACCCACTCGCGCCCCTTCACACGCCTCTCCACCCCTCCCCCCACCTTCTTTCTGCCCCTCGTATACATGAATACACTTGTGCTCCTTTACTGCTCCTCTCGCTTTGCTTTTTCATTTGTCGCCTCTGATGGCGCGGCGTGGCGGGGCGTGGCGGGGCGTGGCGGGGCGTGGCGGCCCACCCCGGGCGTGCTGGAGGGCCGCCACCAGGGCCGGGCCGGCAGGCCCCTCCCCTGCGGTTCGTGCCCGTGTCGACATGCCGGCTGAGGGATGGGATCCAATCTCATTTTTCCGACCAGGGCGAGTCTCTCGCCCTCTCTCTCTTCCCCGGTATTGATCTCTCAGAGCCGACTCCCCGTGCGCGCCCTGAGCCTCCTGAACAAGGCCCTGCTGACGAGGTAAAGGAAGCGACGGCAGTAGCACGGCCTGCTCGAGTCAGCTCTTCCCGAAGGGAATTAATAAGAGAGACGCCGCCAACAGGGTGAAATTAGCATCGGTCGCATTCGTTGTGGACACGGGAGGTTTGAGGAGGGGCCGTAGCCGTATACGCCCCGGGGTGCCTCTCATGTCAGCAAAGGCTCGCTCGGTACCTCTCCATTCTCGGCCGCGCCGAAGGGGGCCGGGACCACCCCAGGCCCCAGGCCCACCACCATGGTCTTTCATTGCCTCCCCAAGTCAAGTCCTCCGCTCGCTGCCTCCCCTCTGCCCCGAGCCCTTCGGGGGGGAGGCTGCGCACCAGCACTCTTGTCCTCACACGGAGCACGAGCAGCGGCAGGAGTCCCTGCGGGGGAGACGAGGACGACGGGCGCGCGCTCGTCTCCACAGGAAATTAACCAGTAGTTCTATCTCCGCCCGTATTTCCGGTGGCGCTTGGCGCTGGTGTGCCGCTGGCGCGCACCCCCGCCGCCATGGCGGCCGTCACGGCCGGAGCAGGCGGAGGCGGCTTCACATCTCGCACCCCTTTTCCCTCTTGTCTTTTCCTCTCGTTGTCCGTCGCGCTCGGGCACCGGGGAGGCCTGCTGCGTTATGTGATCCACCCCACACTGCGCTTGGGTCCTCCTCCCTGGCCGCCGAGGTTCACGGCCCCGTGATGTGTAGCCCCCCCCCCCCCCACGCAAAGTTATACGCCAGCGGCCCCGTGTCAGCGGACAGAGCTATATTTTTATTCAAAAGCTGGAATAAAGGCTCGCTGTGCTGCTGAGAGAACGGAGGGAACCAGGGGCGGAAGGGGGTCGGGCTGGGCGAAAAGAGAGATGGAAGCAGTGACAAAAGTTGTGCCGGTGCGGCCCCGAGGACCGAGCAGCGAGAGCGCGCGAGCGCCCCGAGAGGGAAACAAAATACCCCCTCCTCTATTTCCTCTTTTCTCTACCCTTTCGCTCCCCCGAGCCTTTGCCCTCCCCACTCCCAGAGAAGTCCACGCTCACCGTGTACGTAACAAAGGCCCGTGGACTTGTGGCCTCCGCGACCTCTCGGGCTGAGCGGGCGGGACGGGGATGCTGCTCGGCGTTGCCGGCCGCCAAACTAGAGCAGGCCACTGAGCCAGCCAGCAGCATTCGCTTTACAAGCTAGACGACTTGCTAAAAGCACATAAAGAGAATTTATGACAAACAATAATAGGGAATGGCTTTGTCGCCAGAGAAGAGAGGGGGAGAGAAAGGAGAGCTGGTAGAGAAAGGGGGGTTGGGTTGGGGCGGGTGAAGATGGGAAAGGAGAGCGGGACGAGACACAAAGATGGCAGTGAGATAGCGCCGAGAAGAAGGAGGAAGATGGCGGCATCTCCTCATTTTACTGCGGCGCTTCTTCATTTCCAGACTGCAGGCCGCCTCGCCCCGCCCCGCCCCGCGGTCGCGTATGATGATGCCCTGCCCACCTCTCC